AGTCTGCCCGGAGTAAGGAATTCCACAATATTTCCATTTGACAAATTCAGGATGCAAAAGGTTTGATGTTCAGGGGATGTGGTTGTGATTTGCCCATTGCTGTTTGCCTTTCCTGTTGAGAAGATGTTGTACATGCGTGGATGGTTGTGTGGAATTAGGTGCGGTGCGGTACAGACATGTGGGGAGAATTCAATGTTATGGAGTCATTTCCACTCGAAGCCATTGTTTGTCTCTTCAATCCGCAGACATGTAGACGACCATAGAGCATGGGATAAATGAAATCAGCTATACAGAGGGTGCATCTATCTTCAAACAGTGTTGGATGATGTTCTTTGGCAAAGTGTGTGAAATAAAAAGCTGGAGTACAACATGGTCTATTTATGATTGAAAACTGCGTTGTAGTAATGTCGAATTCAACAAGTAGTTCAACAAGTTGTTTCTTGGAACAGTGAGGGTTTTCATACCTTCCACATATTGGTTTATCGGCCAATATACATATCTATCGATCCAAGTACCATCCCTTACGATTCGCAGGCATTTGTTTTGAATTTGAGGCCACATTTTCACCTGCCTTATTTTGTTATTTTCCTTGAATGAGAAATACACGGCAACCATGCCTGTTATATTTTTTTATTTTGCGTAGCACGATGACCATATATTCATCCAATGAACTCACGTATCCAAATGATGCCACATATTGATCACTAGATGGGGTTATATCTTGCCGGATAACCCAAGGTGGAAGTTTAGTTCTTTTGACAAGTCCTGTTGTTGGGTTCATTATCTCAACAACATTGCACACTTTGAAGTAAAGAAGATCACAATTCGGGCTCAATATCCTTTGGATTTCGTATGCAGGATCATTTCTTATGAGCCTTGTTGTATATGTTTTTGTTTCACGGATGTCAATTGTGCTAAAGGAGGTGAAAATGAGGCTGGGAGATACTTTTTCGTTTTGTGAAACGAACAGTACGTCTCCATTCATGAAATCATTGTGCAAAGAGTGCAACTTTTTCAGAAATTTGGCATTGGAAGCATCAAATTCCTTGTTTTTTACACGCAACGAAATCTTGCAATGCTTTCTAGATCAAGGCGCCACATTATGTCTTCCAAAATTTCAGCAGGAATATTACCAAAGGAAAGATCTATATATGATGTTTTCAAGGCAGATGATTTTGTATAGATTCATTTTGGATGATTTTGAGGATGGGTAGGTGTAATGAGAGGTAGTGGAGAAGAGAATGTTTCTTTTTGTTTGTAGAGAAAGGAGATTTCAGATAGCCTTTGTGTAGTGTCAGAGGTAGTTTGACGGATTTATGTTGTTTTCAGGGCAGATGGTCCTATTTTTTTGCACAAATGAGTGTCTGTTCGGTCTCTTTTCATTAACTGTCCATCATGATAATCAAGAAACTCCTTTAATGACAGTTATGTAACTGGTCCTTATTCATGGTATTCCATTTAAAAAACGTGTGGCTTTTAACTACTGATTAGATCATGTATTCTGCACAAGCATCAGGCTTTTCAGTTTTATTTTTTTACTGTAGTTAAATACTTTTTTTGACTGAAAAGAGAATGCTACAGTCTGTGTACTTTTTGTACAATGTGATTGGTGTACTTTTATGTTTTTTTTTCTAATTTACTTTTTATGCTCTTTTTGTTAATAGATAATGTGTTGTGAAATGGTACTACTTGTCCAATTTTTTATATCGAATAACATTCCGTGAAGAATTTGTGAACGAATTATATAACCAACTTATTTTATATGGATATTCTTATATTGCACATATTTCATGATCCGTAAAGAATTTTTATACGAATTATATATGAAAATTATAGTAGTTGACTTGATCTATTTAACAAGGTCTATATCGAATATTTTTTTCAAACTTTAAACACATTTAAATTTTATGGGCAAAAATGAAGGAATACATATATATATATATATATATATATATATTTTTAAAAAACACTTATTCATTACGTTCATACTGATTATCCAACCAGTTTAAACAGATTATCCAATTTTTTTTTTGTACTCCTTATCCATTCATTTTTATTTTAGAAAATGGTTGTGTTCGTGGTGATTATCGAACTGCTTGGTATTGGTTATCTAGTCGTTTTTTTTTCCTTTTTTTTTTAATAAAATCCTTGTCCAATTTTTTTTTACTAATTATCCAATCATTTTGTATTACTTATCCAATCATTTTTACTGATTTTGCAAATAGATTTGTGCCACTTGTCCAATCATATTTTTTTTTCCTTTTTTTTTTTCCTTAGAGAAAATAGTTGTATAATATGTTTATAGTGATTATCCAAGTGCTTAGCACTGCTTATCCAACGATTTTTTAATTTTATTATTGATGAAAATACTTGTCTAATATATTTCTACTGATTATCCAACTGCTAGGTATTGTTTATCCAACATAGTTTTTCTTTTTTTTTTTCAAAAAAATAGTTGTCCAATGTGTTCATAGTGATTATCCAAGTGATTGGTACTGCTTATCTAATCATTTTTTCTTTTCCTTTTTATAAAAATCCTAATCCCAATTTTTGTGCTGACTATCTAACCATTTTATATTGGTTATCCAATTATTTTTACCGCTTATTCAAACAGGGTTTGTACTATTTGTCCAATAATTTTTTTTCTTTTATTTATTTATTTTTTGCAAAATGACTGGATAACCGTTTTGTATTGGACAACCATTTTTTCATCTTCCAGCCAGGTGGATAACCAGTATTTGACAGTACTGTTGCAGTATGTTACTTATTATTTCTGGGAATTTATATAAATATTTGGACAACCAATATACATTGGCTGGATAACCAGTACAAACACGCTGGATAAGCAATACAGAGCATTGGATAATCAACAGGGAAAGATTGGATAAGCAGTATAACATTGTAGGATAGGCAATACAGAACTATTGGACATCCAACTACTTAGGATCACCACTATGCCATTTATACAAGAGAATTGAGTAGAGAGTACATTATTAGGATTTATAATTTCCACTTGTTGTCATCTTTGTAGAATTTTTCGCTCAAATTAACATGATCTTCAATTTCACTTGGAGTTTCATGGACAGTACCCTCATAGAATTCTTTCATGTCTTCCAGGATGGTTTTCTTCTCTGCGTTGTCTGGGTGCTTTAGGATCCGTGGCAAGTACTCCCATTGGTAGCTTTTGATTTTTCTTGATTTGTCTTACGCAAGTTGTACCTTGAAGTCAAGAGTGCTACCACCATCATACTTCTCCATGTGAAACATTGTGTAGATTCCACAATCTACATAATTCTTCTGCCTCGAGATATGCAATGGTAGTGTAACGTCTTCAACCTTATCGGAACTGACCAGTTCATAATTATAGGGTTTTTGAGTGTAAAGGTTGAACGCGTTAAACTGTCATGCCAAAAAATGCAAGGATCATCCAAATGCAAATTGTGTGTCCTAAAAGTATAATAATGTTCATCTGCAAAATTGTACTTACAATTTTTTTGAATGATGGCTTATAGTAGTTGTCGCCATCCGAAAGGAGGTTGTTGAACGCGAGCACTCTCTTCTCTTGAAACAGCAACACGTATAGGAAGTAGTGTTGTTGGTGGTATATGGGGAAGTAGATCTGGTATTTTAACATTAGAAGGGAGTTTTGTATCATTATGATTTATAATGCATTTTAGAAAAAAAAAATGCACTAAAGATGTTGCTTATAACTTCTGCTGATATAATGTTTTCTGCTGTCATGCCTTGGTCTTCCAGTGCAATCTGTATTCTCTTTTCAAATTGGTATTGGAAATGTTCTTTGTTAGGGTTTTCATCATAGTGATTGACTTGTTACTACATTATTGTTTGAGATGGTCAGGAGATAGTAAATTTGAATCAGTATCAAACACAATGGAAAAGTATCTTTGTGAAAAAAATATTGAGGTAAGAATACATAGTAGGATAAGCAGTTTGAACACATTAAACAAGTAAAAAACATAGTTGGGTAAATAGTAGTAAGGATTTGGATAATCAATACAGACATATTTGGATAACAAGTATGAAGGCATTGTACAAGAATCTAAAGAGTTAATGGAGAAGCAAGGCATTGTTGGGTAAGTAGAACAATGTGTACGCATAAGCAGTACATGTAAGTTGGATAAGCAGAGAAAACAGACTCGACACAAGCATTTGCAAAGTTAACAAATAGGCATAGCATGATTGGATAACCAAAGGAATTTGTATGGATAAGCACTATAAACTGACGGATACACAACAATAAGGGTTGTGTAAAGAATTAGGAATGCATGGGGGTGGGGGGAACAATAAGGGTTTAGATGAATTACATAAAAAGAAGCACCAAAGTATATCCGTTTTCATGTGGTATTCCTTGCTTCTTCTGAGTTTTGGATGACAGCCCATGCATCTATGATCTGATTTTTTAGCCATTTCCCTTCCCTCATGGAGTAAAATGTCTCCCGATTTGCACAAACTACTCTTTTGTACTCGAACAAAGGTTTGTTGTTTCAAAAAAACTAGTTAAATAACCAAACAGTGTGGAACACTGGCAAGTTTTTTTGCTTACAAGTAAGGGTAATGATGATTACCTTGGTCGAACCATATGTTCGTTTCTTTTTGCTAGGAGAGCAAATTCTATCAACGGTGCATCTTCTTTTCTCATCTTTGCTTCCTTATCTGTCCACTTTTCAAATTTTCTCTTATTTTTCTTCTGCAGGCAGAATGATGATCTAAATCATGCTGGCAATTGGTGAGCTCTCTTTGGATATCTCCTCTTAGTATTGAGGATCCTGGGAATAAAAGAAAAGAGGGGTTGTTTGGTAATGTTGTTTGGAATAAATGATGAATGAAACTTATGCAACCTTTTACTTTTCCACTGTTTTTTGCAACTCTTCGTCTTGATGATCTGATTTGTGCGAGAGTTCTCGTAGTGGTGATGTATAGCTGTCATACGGCACCATCGGCTTCTTCTGGTCCGGCATCAACATTTTTAAAGGGGTTACTTACAGCACCCCTGGATTCTTTGTAGCATGTTCTGAAGCCACGGCCATCACATGCAGGCTGCTGGATGGGCATGACCTGGAAGCTGATTCAGTGGCTTTTGCTATGACATCGTCAATGTGAGGACTATGATTGATTTTTTCATTGAGTGCATCTGGGAGGTCAATATCACCATCAACATGTTCTTCCTCATCAACTTTCTTAGGGTTTCTATCCTGTGTTGTTTCGTAATTTCCACTACTATCACGAGCAAAGATACCCAAGCCAAATTTTTGGGATATTACTTGGTTTCTTTACTTTCTTTCTTCTGGATGTTGTGGTCCCCTTTTTCGTGGAATAGGTGGCTGTTGTGTCTTTTCCTGTTGCATGTGTTATCAAAAAAGAAGTTCAACAAAACCATTTTCAAAGTTATAAGAGATGCATGTCATCACTGGGGTAACCGGAACAATGTGTACGGATATCCAGTACAAGCAATTTGGGTAAGAAGTGGAAAACAAAATCTACAGGAGCATTTACACAGTTATCATAGAGGCATTTCATCATTGGGATAACCAGAACAATGCGTACGGATAAATTGGCAAGCCATCATCAAAGTTGGACTACATGTGGCTTTGTTTTGCCACTGCCTGGCAGTTTACTGGTTTCTGTGTAACATTTGCACCCAGCTATTGCACGACATTGTCTGTAGGAGCAGGCATGATTGGAACATCCGTTGTAGATTCTTTTTTTGATGACCCAACTATATCAGATTTGGTATTTTCTTCAAATTCTCCTCTTCCTCCTAGTCTAGAACCTTCTACTGCTTCATCTTTTTCTTGGGGACCTTTTTGTGGTGGTGCTGCAGGGAAAAAGCATGGATATATTTGTAGAAATTTAATGTATAATGATTGAAAATGCAATAAATAATAGGTAAGGAGCTACTATACCTGTTTCAGCATTTACTGGCAAGCATTCTCCTTCATTAGTTTCACTCAGTTGCTCTAGCCCCAGAGCATTTGCAAGATCAGTCTCTTCTGCTTCTTCTTGATCATCAGCAATCTTTTGTGTGCTTGGTTTTTGTTCTTTGTTTAGCATTTCTTCAATGATCTTTTGAAATTTATGTTCTGGTTCTTGTATTCCCTTTTCACACAATTCCAAAATCTGCAGGTCAAGAACATTTTGTGAGAATTCGCTGTCGGCACTAGATGATTACTGTTGATTTCCTTCTTGTTGCTGCTAATGTTTGTCTGAAGGTATCCTCATTGTCATGTTAAACATTGCGTCCAATAAACAGTTAACTGTTGTCTTTATGTGTTCAGCGGGCTCAATGTTCAATTCAGATTCCTTCTGGCATATTTCAACGATGGTTTTGCTAAGGGAAATGACATTCTGGTACAACGTTTGGTAGCAAGAAGACAGGTCCTACAAAGTAAATGAAGTTAGTGGATATATGCGGGTTACGTTTTATTCTTATATATATATATATATATTTGGCATGGATATGCAGACATAATCTAGAAAAGCATGTTCCATTACCTCCATTTGTTGTGTGTCAGGTTCTTTTGCTTCTTCCACTTGAATGCACTGTTCGTCCTTTTGTTCATCTATTTTTTTTATCAAGGCGTGCAAGTAATTTAACATCTGTAAAGTTTGGTTGCTGGCTAGTTACTCGGTTAGCCAGCATCTTTTCATCCCAACATCCTATTACAGGGAAAGATCTTGGATGTTGGTGTTGGTACTCGCTCCTGTCAACGTAGCAAAGCTGACAAAAAAGAAAAAATATATATATATAACTCCTGTTGATATGCATAAACAGAACAAAGACAAAGGGATGGCTACAACGGATAGGCAGTACAAACAAAATGGATAACAAAGAGAATCAGCATGGATAACCAATAGGATGGGATGGATATGCACTATATAAAAAAAATTCACAGCAGGATAAGTTGTATAATAAGACACTTATGGTAGATACCGCGAAGAAGGTGATTGATCCAGTGAATGTTTTCACTTTCTTGTACTAGTTGCATCCGTCAATTAGTCCATCGATGACAAATTCACAACAATTGTATTATTTAACATTATCCAGGGTGATAAGGCTTTTCAGGATGTTGAAACTGATCCTCGAGATTTTGTTGCCATGGAGGAAGGCGTGCGCAACAAATGTGAGGAAATCCCTCTTAAAATCATCTCCGTAGTCATTCCGTTTTGAAGTACATCTGCAGAGTCACTTTTGTATACGGGTAACCCTTGCTGGTTCATCCTTTTTCTCCATGCAGTGGCATGTGGAACATATTCTGGATAGTCCCACTTGTTCGGGGCAAATTGTTCCGGTTTCTTCGGCCCACGAGGGAGGTCGAGGACAGCAACAACATCCTCCTCTGTGAAATCCAATACTCCATTGTTCAGTGTGATTGTTCTACCCCCAGTCTGGAAATTACCAGCCAAAAAGTGGCAAAGAGCATGTGGAATTGATTCAATTTTGAGGTTCAGCAGGGAACCAAAACCAAATTCTCTGATGGCCTCTCTCTGTAGATGCCGATAATTTTCTGACCCATTAATGGATTTTTTCACCTTATGTAGTAATTTATGGAGAACCCTGCAGTCAAATGGTTTTCCTTCACGTGGGCGAGTATCAATGGATTTCGGGGCTTCTGAGACGACTAGTTTTTTACCTGCTGTGTTTTTGGTAGCTTTTGCAGGTTTATTGGCATCAACAAGTTGCTGTTCTTTAGTTGTTCTTGCTGATTTGCGTGTTGGCTCATGCAAGACCAAATCTGATTCTTTACCTTTTTGTCCTGGTGTTCTTTGTTTTCTTTTTTTCGGCCTCATGGGGAGCAGGACAGGTCTTGGAGGGGAGTCAGGCTGGTGTGGTTTGCTTTCCCTGTATATTGTCAAAGTTGCTTCAGGAAGCTTTATTTGAATTGGTTCGGGTTGAGGTGAAGGGCTTCTTTTGCGGTTGAGATCGTGAACCTTCAAAAAGCTGCCAAATAGGTATTCTTTAGTAGACATGCAGGGATCGTGCCTGTATTTTGTCCGTGCTTCGTTACTGGGGATGGATAATCAGTAAAAAGTCAGAGGTGAAATCATGGCAACAGAAGAAAACCAAGGGCAAGGTAGAGAGATAACCAGTTCAAGCAGAAATTGGATAAGAAGCACAAGGTGGATGGATAACCACTATGAGCAAATTGGATAAGTAGTGAAAACAGGTGGACATGCAACAGAAGTGACCAAGCGGTTAACAAGGATAGGAAAATCAATAGACAAGCATGTTAGAGGCATGTTATCATTGCAGTTCGACAAAAATATTTACAGAGTTAACAGTGAGGCATGTTATCATTGGATAAGCAGAAGAATATGGACGGATAACCATTAAAAGCTACTTGGATAACAAGTAAAAACAGATGCAACACAAGCATTTACAGTATTAACAGAGAGGCATGTTATCATTGGATAATCAGAAAAATGTGGATGGATAACCAGCACACACATATTGGATAATCAGTAAGAACAGACTGTACACAAGCATTTACAGAGTTAACAGAGAGATTTGCAATCACTGGATAACTAGAATAAGATGTGCGGATAACCAGTACAAGAAAATTGGATAAGCAGTAAAAAGAGTCAGACATTCGAAACAAGTGGTCAAACATGTAATAGGAAGGTCAGGCTTTCAAATTTTGCTCAGAATCAGTGAATAATAAACCCTAAAAATTTCATAGTGTGCACATTACAACAGATATAGTGTGGATGACCATAACAGATCTGAAGGATAAGCACAAAAAAATTGTAGATGTAGATGTGAAAAAATTACAAGCGATGGTTTGTTATACTTACGGTTTGAGCATTAACCAGTCGAAAACTCCTGAAAGTTTCGTGAGAAACAATAAAAAATAAGCGAAAGTGATATTTTAATTGGAAATGAAGGAAACATAACTCGAAGGTGAAGTCTTAGTACGAAAGCGAAGCAAACAAAGAAGTTTTTTACCGGAGAAGCAAACTATTTACCTGCGGCGGAGACTGCGAACAGATTCCTGCTTGGTTTGACTGGAAAATTCTCTTTCAAGTATCTCCGTACAATTGTTGACACCGAAAAATCGTCTTCCAACAGAGCAGAAAAGAAAGTTTCTATGGTGAATTTTGTATATGACCTGAAATGAAGAAGTTTTCTGTCGACTGTGTGTGTGTGTGTGTTTGTGCGTGAAGATGATGGGAACTGTGATGTTAATGCTGCATTAAATGTAAAGATGAAAACAGTTGAGCGCGTGTTTTACAGCTCTCCATTGCGTGTGACATTGATGTTGTGTGCGTGTATGTCATTTTAATGTAGGGGGTGCACCGTGGTTACTGGACCACCCAAGACGATCTCTTCAGGAATAACATGCAAAGTTCATAGTCGATATGCTATTTATTACTTACTATTATTATTTTATTATTAAAAAATAAACTGTCTAGAGTAGAGTATTAATTGTTACTCATAAATTCAGTATTCAAAATTAAACATTTTTATGAAACAGGTGCAATCTAGAAAATGGGTTTCTGGCACATTTCCGAAAGGCCCATGAGAAGTATTTTTGAAAGGCTTTCAAGCCTTGTAAGTGTTTGATTTTGGGATTTCACACGGGCCCAATCGGAGCGAGAGGCCTACAAATACTAAGTTTGATTTCTATTTTAGGTTTTATGTGTTTTGAAATCTGCCTTTTATTATAGCTAGTTTTGTGTTCCCTCGCGATTCCTGAGAATTTGCCTTACTGGGATTTAGGATAAGAACTCCTCTGATCGCAGTAGTGATACACTGAAAAGGTACCAATCTTATGATGCTGAGTTGCTTACTTTATTGTTGCCATCATCATGAATATAATTATTTTTTGAATTTTGTTTATCCGCAAATGTGCAAGTTCAGTGTGTTGGCCATCTTTCCATTTCTTATTTTCTTTTGATGCGTGGAACATTCATTTTCAAGGTTTTATTTGATTTGATTCGATCAGTACTTTAGGTCACCTTTTCGAGTCCGTGTTTTCTAGCGCGGATCTCGTGAGGTATGTGTTGAGAGATATAGAACCTCCTTATAAAAAAATTAGCGTTGAAGGTTCAAGCCTTCAAGGTGTCGATTATCGGATGTGGTGGTTGCTCGGAAAACAGACTATTCGGGAATACACACGTTCGCAGGCATAGTGGTGGCTGCTCGAAAATCAGGTTTTTCAGAAAGACATATTTAGGGCGTGATTTAGACATCGGGAATTTGATCTTAGGTTAAGCTGGTTATGACAAAAAGGAAAAAAAGCATTGGCCTTCCTGATGTGGTATTGATAAGGAAGTTTCATTGGAAACGAGAGAAGCCCGCGCATGCATGGGTACTATTTCTCCCCTAACAAGCAAATCTTAGGCTCAAAACCTTTGTTTCCACTCCCATATCTTTTAAATGCAAAGAGAAGCTATATCTGTGAGGACGTCGAAGTTCTAATTATAAGGAAAAAAATTAACACTTGAGTTATTTCAAATTCGTGTCCAGTAATTAATTAGCACTAGAGATAGCACTAATCAAGAAAAAAAATGATTAGGTGGTTGATGAAGTTTTTATTTATTATTTCTTTTCCAGAAAATTAGCTGTATACTATTCTACCTTTTTCAAAATAATTATCCTATTTTTATTTTAATTTTCGTACAACCAACCGAGCAATTATTTTTCAACAAAAAAAATAGTAAAAAGAAAAAAAATATGTTCGAGATCAAAGTCACAAGAGTGCACTGCATTGTCCAAAACTCATTACACCAAATTGTCACCTTCCAGGAGTGGCACTCTACACTCTACAGCCATTCGACTCTCTCCCTTGTAGTTCTTGGTTTTCTGTGTCACTTTTGTGTCACACTGAGTGTGATACTATCTAAATAAATGACACATGTTATTATTTATAAATGCTAACACCCGAACCTAATGGTAATTAAACCCATTTGAGGAAGTGATTAAATACCTATCAATTATTTAGATAGTATTACATAGAGTGTAACACAAAAATGTCACCGAAAATCTTTTGCTCTCACTTACATGTACAACACAACACATTTATTCAACTCCAGAGACACATTTCAATTTTTATATTTATTTTGGTTCAACATTTTCAATTATTTGTAAATAAAACATTTGAAACAAATAATCAGCTATCTAAGTGCTTCAACTAGATTGACGAAGCTTGGATTTGTACGGTGCCTTAGGACGGGCGGCGATGATGATCTAGGCGGGGGCGGACGGCCTAAAACTTGCAAGACAGAGCCTCGGGCGTCTCCCGAGGGTAGACTCTCTGATGTTTAAGTCAATAAAGGGATAGAAAGAATATGGAGAGAGGTAGAAGATACGTGTATCAGATATCCATTATAAGGGAGGCACCACCTCTTTATATAGAGGTGGTGTTACCTGTTTCCCTAAACCTAGTCGAATTAGGTTTAGTCGGTGACTTAACTTCCAAGATAGCCGGCCCAAACCCATTAGGGTTAGGGTTTAATCTATGACTCGTCAAGTGCCCTAGCAAGCCATATTCTCGAGATTTGGTGAGAAGAATATGGGTTGCTGTGAGTGTTGAGTCTTCTCGAATTTCGTAGTGTTGCCCCTAGTTCTCGAACTCTTTTGTTCTTGGGTATCACCTATACAAGATAGAGATAGTAGAATGCCTCGAGGAGGTCTTTGTGTTAGTAAGTTTCTTATTAGCAGGGGGAAGCCTGTTTATGCCGAATTAGGAGGATGGCACCTAGATTCTCTTATTTGAAGGGGAAAAGCCTATTTTCTCTTATTTGAAGCGGAGAAGCCTTTACTCTCTTATCTGAAGGGGAGAAGCCTATTTTCTTTTATTTGAAGGGGAGAAGCCTTTACTCTTTGATGGGGTATCAAGCCACACAAATAAATGAACCTACTTCAAATTACTGTAATATAGGGAAGTAAGGTCGTCTCCTCAGGGAACGATGGATTGTTTCCTTCAAATTAATACAAAGAAGATTTTTGGATTGTTTTTCTAAACTAAAATAATGAAATTCAAATAACAAAAATAAATAAAAGAAAAGAAATCCAAGTAACAAACTACTGATCCAAGGGATGGACAACTCAATTATTTCACTAATTATAGGTCAAAAAAGGCATTCTTACATTCAAGTATTCAACCCCTAAATTTATTAGGATAGCCATAACAAATTCAGACTTCTCTAAAAACATTGACCAAACCCAGCATTCAATCAAATCTTGCTATGACAGACTGGGCACGATAGCGTTCCATGTCTAGCCACAACAGCAATACACACAAGAACTAGTTGAACCAAAACTAACTAACAGAGATAGCTACAATTAATTAATTTTGTCTTGCTGATTCCACATTTAAACTAGCATGTGCATCCTATGTCTCACTAATACACATCTTCGTCTAATTGCTACCTAGTGCCAATGGTTCTTGTCTATTACGTTATATTCAACCAATGGATAGCAATAGAAAGTAAAAATCAAATCAAGTTGTCAATTTGAATGATATCTACTTTTATGAAATAAAAACAAGAATCAACAAATACAAGAATTAAAAGTAAGAAGATAAATTAAAAGCATAACCTCACAATGAAACAACTGAATTATCCCTTGAATCAGAAAAGAAATCCTTAGCCACTGATAGATGGAAGCATGAAGGCTTTGTTCACCATTAAAAAAAGAAAAATAAAAGTGCAATGAAAAGGGCAAGGGAGCGTGTGCCTGCCTATGGCTACTCACGGCTGCCCCTTACAAAACTAATAATCCTCTTTATAATAAAATTAGGTCAGCAGCAGGAAAATAGCAAAAGGTGGACGAATTGCAGCTTTGG